AATTTGCCGCCCGAATCCCTGCCCCTGCCGCCCCTCTCCCAAGCGGCCGCCCCAAGCACCTGCTTGAGAAGCTGGTGCCTGGAGCCGGCCCTGTCTGTCAGGTCTTTGTCCCGAGGCAAATGAATATTGGGCAGGTTCACATCATTTCAATTCCTGATGCACCTTCTCTTAGAGGACCGTATCCTGCACTTGCATGGGTTCTGGACTAAATAGGAGATGGGAAAGACCCATTAGACCAGGGCTGGGATCTATAGTGCTACCACGCAAAGCCCGGATAGAGAAAAATAAGGGGAAAACAAGGGCATTCTAACACCCTCTTGTGGTCACCAGGAAGGCTATGTGCCAAGGACCAAGGAATCCACTGAAGGCCATTAATGTTTTCTTTGTCCTCAGGAAATTCACAGCAACAGGCAGGAAGAGGGTGGAGGAACAGACCCTGTGCTGTCCCCCTGTGACAAGGAAGTTTGACTCTGCAGACTGGCCATCTGATCATAGGCAGCCTCAGGGCTGTTGTTGAACAGGTGAAGAGCTTCCCCTCCCTCTAGTCTAGAGGCTTTCACAGCCCTAGAGAAAAGTCTGCATGCAACTAGGCAAAATTACTTAGTGCCGTGGTTGTCAACCAGGGATACGTATACCCCTGGGAGTACGCAGAGATATTCCAGGGTGTACAGCAACTCATCTAGATTTTTGCCTAGTTTTACAACAGGCTACAGAAAAAGCATTAGCGAAGTCAGTACATTTCATACAGACAATGACTGGTTTATACTGCTCTATAGTAGATGATGTTTTCGCTCCTCAGCTCAGAGAGAGCCGACTGGAATGCAAGTGCAATATCTATATTTCAGTTGATTGATTTTATAATTCTATGGTCAAAATGAGAAAGTCAGCAATTTTTCAATAACAGTGTGCTGTGCCGCTTTTGTATTTTTATGTCAGATTTTGTAAGCAAGGCGTTTTTAAGTGAGGTGAAACTTGGGGGTACGCAAGACAAATCAGACTCCTGAAAGAGGTACAGTAGTCTGGAAAGATTGAGAGTCACTGGCTTATTGTATTCAAACTAATTTGGGATACAGAGGAAGGAGGTGGAAATACCACCCCAAATACACAGCATCTGGAGACAAGGTTGGATCTGGTGGCTCTGAGTCCATTCCAGGACGGGACTCACCCCAGCTCTTGGTAAACAACCACCACCAAACACTGCCCCTCCCTACTCACACCCACTCTTTCTGTTTCACAGAGTTTGTTGGCAGACCCATGATTTAGGGTTGGGTTAGTATGACGGACAGTTTCAGTTTCATTTCTCTCCCTACAGGCCGACCAAATAAATAACGAAAGAGAAAGAGAGGCACAGCCCCAGAGAAACTATGGAGGAGGAGAGCAAGTTCTGCAAGAACTGGTAAGAAATCCTTTATTTCCCCAGTGTGATATTTATATCTGAGAGTTGTAGAGGCTCTAGCCCCATGGATCTCAACCAGGGGAATGCAGAAGTCTTCCGGGGTCCATCAACTCATCTAGATATTTGCCTAGTTTTACAACAGACTACAGGAAAAGCACTAGCAGAATCCGTACAAACTAAAATTTCGTGCAGACAATGACTTGTTTATGCTGCTCTATATTCTATACACTGAAGTGAAAAAGTACGATATTTATATTCCCATGGATTTTTTTTATAATTCTATGGTAAAATGACAAAGTCAGCAAATGTTCAGTAATAGTGCGCTGTGCCAGTTTTTTATTTCTAGGTCAGACTTTGTAAGCAAGGAGTTTTTAAGTGAGGTGAAATTTGGGGGTACGCAAGACAAATCAGACTCCTGAAAGGGGTACAGCAGTCTGGAAAGGTTGAGAGCCACTGCTCTAAAACAACAAGGAGGCCAGTGGCACCTTAAAGACTAACAGATTTATTTGGGCTTAATCTGTTAGTCTTTAAGGTTCCACCGGACTCCTCGTTGTTTTTGTGGATACAGACTAACACAGCTACCCCTCTGACACTGCTCTAAAGAGCTCCCCTTAGTCTCTCTCAGTGAGGAGGAAGGCAGGGGCAGGCCAGGTTGTTGAGGCAGCCAGCAGCAATGCGGTTGGAAGGGTTATCTGCTTTGTGTTAAACTTTGCAAACAAGCTGCCAAGAGTTTTTAACTATTTTTGCATTTTAAAACCACACTTTTTCCTTTATCGTGGACAGATCCTTCCCCGTTGGTTACTGTCCACATTCTGCTTCTATGTGCACACACCTAGGAACACAGGAAATGCCACACTGGGTCAGACCAGAGACTCATCTGTCTCTGGCAACAGCAAGTACCAACTGCTTCAAAAGAAGCTGAGGGAATTCCCTGATTATGGAATAACCAGCCAACAGGGAAAGTTAGTTTTCATGGAATCTGAAATAGGGTTCTGTAGCAAGGTGCCTCCAAACCCTGTCAGTGCCTCAGTTTCCCCTCATGCCCAATGGTTCTTTCCGCCACCAAAATGACTTAACTCTCTGGCTAAGTCCCCAAAAGTTCCCCCATCCAGGCTAATCAGTCTCTTCATCCTCCTATTAATAGCAGGGGTCCCTATGGCAGCCTAGGGTAGTGGTTCTCAGCCAGGGGATACGCAGAGGTCCTGCAGGGGGAACATCAACACATCTAGAGATTTGCCTAGTTTTACAATAGGCTACAGAAAAAGCACTAGCGAAGTCAGTACAAACTAAAATTTCATACCGCCATTGACTTGTTTATACTGCTCTGTACACTGAAATGTAAGTACAATATTGATATTCCAGTGGATTTATTTTCTAATTATATGGTAAAAATAAGACCGTCAGCAATTTTCCCAGAATAGTGTGCTGTGACACGCTTGTATTTTTGTGTCTGATTTTGTAAGCAAGTAGTTTTTAAGTGAGGTGAAACTTGGGGGTACGCAAGACAGATTAGACTCCCAAGAACATAAGAACGGCCATACTGGATCAGACCAAAGGTCCATCTAGCCCAGTATCCTGTCTCCTGACAGTGGCCAATGCCAGGTGCCCCAGAGGGAATGAACAGAACAGGGAATCATCAATTGATCCATCCCCTGTCGCTCATTCCCAGCTTCTGGCAAACAGAGGCTAGGGACACCATCCCTGCCCATCCTGGCTAATAGCCATTGATGGACCTGTCCTCCATGAACTTATCTAGTTCTTTTTTGAACCCTTTTAGAGTCTCCTGAAAGGGGTACAGCAGTGGTTCTCAAACTATTGTACTGGTGACCCTTTTCACATAGCAAGCCTCCAAGTGCGACCCCCCCCTTATCAATTAAAAACACTTTTTATACATATTCGCACATGTGTGAAAGGAGAATCAGACCCAGATATTTTGGGCCTAAATCCACTGACAGTGCCTGTCCCCTTTAAAGATGTTCATAGTAGAACAGCACAACCTCAGTACTGGAGTCCAAATGTCTCAGCCAAACAGGGCACAACTATAAATATTCATCTCTAGTTTTCAGGGACAAGCCAGTTGAGTTAAAGGAGGTCCAGTAACATTCCTTTCCTTCCCCCTTCCATGCCACACAGTAAACGAGATGTGTCTGCTGCCAATTTCTCTCTCCACGAGGCCCACTGCATGCGGTTTCTCGCTATCTGTCCAGAATGCGATGAACCTATTGCTCTAAAGGAGATGGAGGAGCATCAGGAAGAAGCACATAAGCAGGTGAGAGTTGCTCTATTTCCTGAAATAACAAGCGCTCCCAGTTATGAGCTAGGTTTCGTTTTAGCCTGGCCATGCTATTGGATGTCAAATAGCAACGAACATCTATAGCTGAAGAGCAGAAAATATCCTCTCCTCCCTGCTCACAGCTCCCATCCAGCCACATGGCACTTACATGCTCAAGCTGAGGGTGTGTGGCCTCGAACACACAGACCTGACCCCACTCTGTTACGCCTATTATATGCTGGTGTAACGCCATTGATTTCAGTGCATAAAACTAGCGTAACAGAACGGGGAGTCAGGTCCTACTGGAGCCATCTTCAGTATGTGTAAATCATCAAAACTCCACTGATGTCAATAGAGCGATGGTATCTTACACCAGTGGAGCATCTGTCCCTATATCGATAGGGCTATAGAATCCTAACTTCCATTGAAATCAATGGGAGTTAGGACCCTAAATAAATTTGTGGCTCTTGTCCTTAGCATTGAGCGTGGCGAACTTTCAGGCTTGGATGCCTGCATAAAATGGCCAAATCCTGCATTTGAACAGCCAGATCAGAACTGTATTTTCCACTCAATCTTGCATAACATAGCTCAGTCCCTGCTGCAAAAACTACGATCTCCACCAGCTTTTCATCAAATGGGATGAAAATAGAGACGCCATCCTAGGCAATGAGATGGCATGAGATGCCACCGGACATCTTTGAAGTGTTCCCTCATGATCTGTTTGGTATTTTCCCTTAGGCAACCTACTAAATCTCCCCCCCCCTTCACTTTCAGGTCAGATGTAAACTGTGTCACCAAAGCATGCAGAAATACCTGCTGGAGAATCATGAGGTGAGTAGAGCGATGTATAATATCAGAATCCTATTCAGATCATCTTTGACAAATCACCTTGAGATGCACTGAAAAGGAACGACCGCAAAATAAACAGCTTGCCTGCTGAAATGTAACAGCGCCCGAGTCAGGCAGCTTAAGCATGACAGTCATTCCTTAGTTTAATTTAACAGAACATTTTACATTTAAATAAGCATGGTGCGCACTGTCCCTACCCTCCTCTTCCCATGTAGTTTTGCAGGGATTGTCTAGGAGAGTCTATGACCTCTGCACATCTCATGGGGTCCACTCTTTTCATGGACAGTGGCACTTCTGCCCTGCCGTCCACGCTCACGTCTCTCACAATTCCAGGGAGGAGGCTTTGAAAAGTGAGAGGCCGTTCCAAGCATAGGGATGACCTGCAAGAAGGTGCAATGCTGAGGTGGGAGAAGCAGACGGTGGGAATGGTTAGGAAGGAGATGTGGAACAAGATGAGGATTGAGAAGTTAGCGGCATAGATGCCGACTCTGTGGGTGCTCCAGGGCCGGAGCACCCACAGGGAAAAATTGGTGGGTGCTCTGCACCCACTGGCAGCTCCCCACCGCCCCTGCCCCAGCTCACCTCCACTCTCCGCCTCCTCCCCTGAGCGCGCAGCGTCCCTGCTTCTCCACCCAGCACTTGCCACCGCGAAACAGCTGTTTTGCGGCGTAACAAGCTGTGGGAGGGAGGGGGGAGGAGCAGGAATGTGGCGCGCTCAGGGGAGGAGGCGGGGGCGGGGATTTAGGGGTCCAATAGGGGCAGGGAAGGGGCAGAGACTTTGGGGAAGGGGTTGGAAGGGGGCGGGGCAGGGGTGGAGTCAGGGCGGGGGTGGGAGGGTCGAGCACCCACCAGCACCAGGAGAAGTTGGTGCCTATGGTTAGCGGGGACATTTTCAGAGCTGGCAGCGATTGCTGCAGCCCAACATCCTTATGCTTTCGGCTTTGATTTACTATTTGCAATAATTTTCTATGCCCATATGCAGTCCAATGAATGTAATGAGCGATCAATGAAATGCACATTCTGCGAGCTGGAAATGCCCTTCAATAAGCTGCAGAGGCACCAGGAGGCCTGCGGTAGTCGCACGGAGCTCTGTTGGGAGTGTAACAAATACATCATGTACAAGGACTTGGACAAGCACAAAGACGTTTGTCAGAATGGCAAGAAGCTATCAAGCAATGGTGAGATGCACTATCAACCCAGTGAAGAGTCTCCTCGTCAGACCTCGATTCTCCCACCCTCAGGTACCCAAAATCCCTCATGATCTGTAAACAGGGTCATGTCACTCCAGCACCTGTTGCTTTGGAAACTCCCAGTTATCTGTAATTACGGTATTCACAATTCTCTAGGACTCTTGATAATCCAGGTTGCCCTGTATAGTGTGAAAGTCCCCACATGGGGTTCTTGTCTAACCAGCCACAGCTAAAGGGCCAAGTTCTGCTCTGAACTACATCCACAATTGTCAATCCAGAGCAGCTCTGCTGATGTCAGTGGAGTTGCTCTGCATGTGCAGTGGCATCACTCAGAAACATTGGGCCTTATTTTTGTCTACAAGAGGCCCCTGGCAACGTAAAGAGGCCTTCGTGTAAACAAGAATCACACTTTTCCAGCTAGAGTGACATTTTAGGGCCTGATCAACCATTCCTTATTTCCCCCCAAATTCCTGTTGGCTTTAAGGGCAATTTTGGGTGTGCAAGAACTGGAGGACAGTTCTCTCTCAGGCGGGGACCCCAATCCCATTAAACCAATCTGATTAAGTTGACATAACAATCCTACTTCTACTGCAAACTGCCGAGAGTGACTAAACGAGCACCTTTGCAAACACGCTAACTAAAGCGCAACAAATTCACCCCCTTCCTGGGGTTTGGCTTAATCTTCAAGCATGACTGCTCTTCGAGCCAGGCATTGCCACCTCCCTCATATAGAAAGAGAGAGAGAGAGAGGGGGCAAAACCCACGTAAGCCTTTCCCACCAGCTTCAGCGCCTGCTAAACTGGTAGCGTATTTAGAGTCCATGTTGCCAGCCTGTTACAGTGACCTTTAAAAGTAGCACATTTGAGATGGGCTTTCTTCCTACTGACGTGTCAACAGCCAGGCATGTTACTGAAGTGTTCAATAGCATCACGGTCCCTTGGGGCTGTGGACGGTTTTCTGGTGGGTAAGAGAAGAGGCCTGACCAGAGGGCGACAGGATAAGTGGGTGATCATTTGTGAACAGTGTCCTTCCTCATAATCATTGGTAGGCACCACGAAGAACAATGGGGGATAGAGAGCAAGAACGTACTCACTGGGAAATATACAATCCTTCGTAGCATAGCACTAAGTAGAGATGGGCCTGAGGTGCGAAATGTGGATCCAGACTCAGATTTCAACCACTCCAAAGTTCAGCAGGGAGGGAAGGTCAGAACCTGAGTTTATTTAATGGGGGCCAACAGTGAAATCCAGATCCATATCTGCCTTAGGCTCTGGTCCCTTGAAGTACAGTGGTGTTTGGATCAAGTGCCTCTAGGACTGGTCAGCGTGACCTGAGTTTGAGGAGCCTGGGTACGGTATTTTACTGACTCGTGCCAGCTCTGCGCATTACCAATAGATGGCTTTCCCTTTTTCCTCTGAAGGTCTCAGTGACAATCTTTGTCAGCAGTGCAATAAGTACTTCCCAGATGACCAGTACCTCCAACACTTGGTAAGTGATTTGGGAACTAAACCTGCAAAGAGCTTGGGCCTCATTCAAGCCAGGCCTTTTCTGTCGAAAGCCACCTGTTGGATTCGGTAGGACATGTTTTGGCTGCTCAGTTTGCACAGCCATTGCTATCCCACGGCCAGCTGGCAACAGCTACCCATGCCCTCGTGACCATGAGCTTGGCCTTTAGCACCAGTCCTTGTTTGGCAGGGCTCTTAGCCTCTCACTGCTGATGCAGAATGCAAACAGCTGTGACATTACATGCCCCCTGCATCCTTCTCACCCACTGCCTAGGCAGTGGCACATTGAGATAGACTGGTTAATAAAGCCCTGAAGAACGTAGGCCCCAGCTCTGTTGCCCTGAGGGGTCTCTGTTCTGAAAGGGCTGCCACTAATCTTTGAGCCAGTTTGATGGTGCCTTTGCTGCAGAAGCTTCTAATGAGAACCTCACTCCCCATTGGAGCATCTACCTGGACTCCATCCTCCTCTCTTTGTAAACCACCTGCAAACAGTGACTCCCCCACCCCAGAGGGGACTTTTAGTTGTAGTCGATTTTGTAGAGCCTTTCTCCCTCCCCACTATTTTTTAAGACCTCCATCTTTATTGGCGTTTAGTCTCCCATTATCTCATTCTGATGTTTTTAATTCTTTCTTATATTAAATCGCTGTGCAGACTATCCCTTTTCCCCAACACCATCAAGGGCACCCCTCATTGGTTCACCATCTGGCTATTTCCTTTGTTCTCTCATTATTCTTTTTAACTGTCCGCCACAGACTGAGTGCAGCCCGCTCTCCAAACTCGCGGATATTCTCGCCAGCCAGTCAGTTACAAAATCCCGCCCGCTCCCACCTTCCTCTCCGGTTACGTCTCCCCCCCGTGAGAATGCAGCCGTGGCGTGGAAGGACGTTCGCCCGAAGCGGAAGGAAAAGGACTTATCTTCTGCCTCCAGGCCCTCACTCAAGCCACTGAAGAACAAAAAGTCAGCAGGCCGCCCTGCTTTCACTGCCACAGTGGATCCCGTACTGCCGAAGGCACTTGAAGACCCAATGACTTACGATGTGTTGGTGACCTGTTCCCAGTGCAATATCCTCCTCCCAGGTCCGACTCTAAGGAAGCACGAGGTGAGAAATGCTATGTACCCCGCTGCACACTCTTGGTGACGGTGGACAGTGAAGGGGTGCTGGGGACAGCCAGAGGCACCCACTCCATGCATGCTCCGGGGCTGGAGCACCCACGGGGAAAAATTAGCGGGTGCTCTGCATCCACTGACAGCCAAGCTCCCCCTCCTCGCCTCCTTTCCCGCCCCCGATCGCTCTGCATCCCCACTCCTCCCCCTCCCTCTCCCTCCCAGCGCTTCCCACCACGCCCCCCGCAACCTAACAGCTGTTTGGTGGTGCTTAGAACTTTCCAGGAGGGAGGGGGAGGAAAGGGGACGCGGCACACTCGGGGAGGAGGCGGAGAAGAGGCAGGGATTTGGGGGAAAGGGGTGGAATGGGCATGGGAAGGGGTGGGGACTTTGGGGAAGGGGTGGAATGGGGGCGGGGCAAGGGCGGTGCAGGGGTGGGAAGAGGCGGGGCCAGGAGAGGGGGGGTTGACTACCTACCGGGCAGAGGGGAAGTCGGCGCCTATGGGGACAACTGGACTTTAGACAACCTCAGTCTAGAGACCAATGACACTTCAGCTCACAGTCACACCTGCTTCTTCTGTTATTCCTACTTATTGAGAGCTGGCAACATGTACAGCCCTGAACTGGGCATGGAGTAGACAAACGACTAGATTCCATTTTTGTTTACATTCATGTCAGTCCAGCAGAACTTCACTACTCTTTAAGCTGAAGGGCAGCGTTGGCTGTCAAGAACAAATGGGTATAAATTGGCCATGAATAAATTCAGGCTGGAAATTAGAAGAAGTTTTCTAACCATCGCAGGAGTGAGGTTCCAGAACGGCCTTGCAGTAGGAAGGGCAAACCACCTAACTGGTTTTAAGATGGAGCTTGATAAGCTTATGAACCGGGTTATAGGATGGGTTGCCTGTGGTAGCAAGAGGCAGGGCTTGATGACCCTGGAGGGCTCTTCCAGTCCTATGTGCCACTGACTTTAATGGAATTACTCTGGATTGACACTGCCTGACTCTGCCCTCCACAACATCAGTCTTCTGCCTAATTCGGGGGAAGTTACACCAATGTAAAGCTGGTGTAACAAAGTGGAGAATCAGCACTTAGTATTTAGGGTCTAGTCTTGCAGCTGTGACTCATGGGTGCCGACTGGCATAGATCCATTGAAGTCAATGGGGCTATGCCTATTTTAAATGAACTGAGAATCTGGTCTGGCAAATCACACTGGGCTTGACTCTCAGATACGCTAAGGGCCTTTTACACTACTTACAGCACAAAGGGGCCTTAAAGGGGGTGCAAACAGCCCCCAAAGGAAAGCCCCTGAGCAGAGCCAGTATAGCGCTGGCATAAGGTTTCTGCACAGCTGTATTCCCATCCCCTGGTGTAGGAGGGGGATCTGCAGTGTGACCAGGCGCATGGCTATTGCCTGCTTCCCAGGGTTCATAAGGGACCATGGACAAGCTCCTGCATAGCCCCAGAATACAGAGGTGGCAAAGATGGCTTAAAACCTCCTTTACTCTCCCTCCCATCCCTGCCTCAAATGCAGTAATGGAGTAACTATGAGTCAGGCCCCTTGACTCTAGGGTCAGATCCTGCAAGGTACTCATCCTCTTCGTCCCCCTTCCCTTCCCAATACATACATACAGCATGGGGAGCGTGATTAGGGTTATGCTGTAGCAAGGACAGAGCTGAATTATTTAAGCTCAGTACCAGTGTGGACACAAGAACAAATGGATATAAACTGGCCATCCGGAAGTTTAGATTTGAAATTAGACAAAGGTTTCTAACCATCAGAGGAGTGAAGTTCTAGAACGGCCTTCCAAGGGGAGTAGTGGGGGCAAAAGACATATCTGGCTTCAAGACTGAGCTTGATACGTTTATGGAGGGGGTGGTATGATGGGATAGCCTAATTTTGGCAATTAATTCATCTTTGACTATTAGCGGTAAATATGCCCAATGGCCTGTGATGGGATGTTAGATGGGATCTGAGTTACTACAGAGAATTCTTTCCTGGGTGCTGGGTGGTGAGTCTTGCCCACATGCTCAGGGTTTAGCTGATCGCCATATTTGGGGTCGGGAAGGAATGTTCCTCCAGGTAAGATTGGCAGAAGCCCTGGGGGGGTTTTGCCTTCCTCTGCAGTATGGGGCACGGGTCACTTGCTGGAAGATTCTCTGCACCTTGAAGTCTTTAAACCACGATTTGAGGACTTCAGTGGCTCAGACATAGGTTTGATACAGGAGTGGGTGGGTGAGATTCTGTGTCCTGCGTTGTGCAGGAGGTCAGACTAGACGATCATAATGGTCCCTTCTGTCTAGACCCTTAAAGTCTATGAGCCTCAGGTCTCAAGGCCTGGTGCAGGGACCCAGTTGTCTCCTAACCAAGTGTGGATACATTAAAGATGCAGGGCTGTGTTCTTTTGTATTCATGGTCATTATTATTCATTTGTTCAGAAAAAATGTCTGCGTCTAGCTTCTTTGCAAAATCTCAGGAGGAAACCAAAATGGAGTCCTGGAAAACAAGGTACTATAATATTTCTAAGAAATACAGTAGAACTCAGTTAGAGACATCTACAGTTGCTGGGTTAATCAGGATGATGGGGCATTTCCCAGAGCAGGTGCCTCTGGAAACGTTAAGGATCAAAGAATCACAGGGCAGCTGGGTATTTCAATGAGGATAGTGGTATGTATACCTATACAGTCTCCATGTTTAGAAACCATGCTCTGATCTTCAAGGCCCCCATACCCTTGTCAAGCTAACTCAGTAGGAATGCTTGAATTTGGCCCTAGCTGGATTGCAACCACCCAAAGCTACACATTAAGGCAGAGGGACTAGAACTTGGGTGCTCCTAACATCTAGTCTTATGTGCTTTCCACTTGAATAAGCTGCCACAGGTCAATACTGAATTTTATAGCCACTCTCCTGTGGGAGACTTTAAAATAAACATATCAGCATTTTCATACTGATTTTCATAAATTCATTAGGAATTTAAAATCAGCTCCCTGCTGTCTTTGTATAAAGTATGAGGCCGTCAGCTGTCCTAGCAGACAGGATTTTAGGTACTCAAGATGCACGACAACACTGAGAACCAACAAGTTTCTAGTAATCCCATCTTAATTAAGGGCTTGTGCACCCACCTGTGTTATACAACTTTAATTATGCTGTTATAATAAAACCAGTACAACCTCACTAGAATGGGCCCAATTATACCAGTCTAAAGGTGTTTATTTCTGTATGCAAAGGGGCATAAGCTATAAGGCACCTTTATACCGGTATAATGGCATCCACACTAGGGGTTGTACCAGTATAACTGTACTGCTAAAACCATAATAATAATTCCCCTGACAGTTATACCCGTGCAAAAGCAGTGCACAGACCTGGCCTAAGTGATGCTAACTATAAGGACCTTGGGCCTAATCCTGCAGTCCTTACTCAGGACAATCTCCCATTGCTTTGTATAATATTTTCCATAAACAAAAATGCTACCTTATACTTTTAGCCAGAACTATCCTTGTTTTATATCAAGGGGAAAAAAAACCAAGAACAAAAGTCCATGAAAGAGCATACAGTGTATGTCTCTCCTCAGACAAACTGCACCAACCTGAACACAAAATGGCTGCCTTTCTCTGGAGGCAGCATATTTACACATTGAAAGATGCCATACAACTAAAACAGAGAATGCACCACAGTGTGAAATTAAAGGGAGTTTTAGCTGACTATGGACTACAGGATCGTACCTTTAAATACTTACCCCTTCATTACATAGTTTGTATTCACTTTCCTTGTACTTTGGACTGTTCTAATGGACTCAGCCAAAATGGGTTAGGGGAGGTAAGGGCATACATTCATGGGCTTACCTATTCATTGTAAAATAAAAAAAATTACATTGGGTTTTGTTTGTTTTACAGAGGAGCCTTTCTAAGGCACTCCTGGAAAAAACTGGAACCAGAGACACCCCACCAGACCACAGGCTTCAGTTCAGCGCTAGTAACGGCATTCTAAACACATGGCTTTATACATAGCGAATAAAAGCGTCATGCTTCCTACACTAGACTAAGAACAAAGAACCATTCTCGGAAATTTATTCTGAACCAAATAGGCTCATCTTCAAGCTCCACCATAAAGCTCTGCACAGTTGTGCCCCAACGAGTGCCATCCTTTTGGGCATTAACATGTAGTCCCTCCTTAGGGACTCACTTGTTCTCTGTGCCCTGCCTGTTACAAGAGCGGAGGTTAAAGATCCCATTCTCCTCTCAGCTATATTGGTGTGTCGCGGCTGAAGGTGCAGTAACGTAACAGAAGTACTTGGCCTTCAGTGCTTCCACTGAAGCCTTCAAGGTATTGGCTTTCAACTTTGACCCTAACTTCCCATAGTGATCCATCCCACACCACTAGACAGGTTGTACTCAGGTCTGCTGGGCTCGTTCACAGCCCTTCTCTCCCAGCCATACACACACACACACACACACTCCTCACCACTGAGAGCAGCCTATGCATCATGGTCACTTACTGGGGAAAATATTTCCCCTCAAGGAATTTAGAAGCACTATAGATGTATTGGGCCCGATGCTGAGCATCTGCCATTCCCATTGACTTCAGTGAGAGCTGAGGGCCTCACTGCCTCAAGGTAGGAGGGATAGCTCAGTGGTTTGAGCATTGGCCTGCTAAACCCAGGGTTGTGAGTTCGGCCCAGCACAACAAAGGGCTAACTACTGGTCTCATTGAACTTTATGGGAGCTTAGCCATGGATTGCAGGACTGTAGCCCACACGGCTTAGCCCCCAAGTGCTGAGCACCCTCATTGGAAGATGAGTGTTCAGCCCCTGGTACTACTGAGCCCAATCTGCTTCACCTTGAATTGACAGAGGCAAATGCTGGAAAAGTTAAATCTCCAGCACTAGTGGGGGTTGTATATTGAGGCAGATGTTGAACTCTAGTTGAGTGGGAACAAATAAAAATGTTAACTGTGAACACATAAGGTTATTTCATTGGTACCATGTTTTCCCTGCGCTGGAGTGCTCCTTGCGGTATGTGATCCTATCCACTGGTTGCTGGAAGCGGAGTGCAGCAATCAAGTGAAATTGTTTGCTAAGTGCGTTCTCACCCAGTTCATCAATCCATTTGAAAATGAATGTTGATTTATGTTATCTGAAGAAGCCAGGCTGCCAAGCCACTAAAACGTGACCGGATACACTTTGCTTCCCATCTCACGTTCTCATCAGCAAGACGTCCAGCTATCAGAATGAACCTAGTTTGACTATCGAAATGAGACCTACAAGATAGCTCTAAGCAGGATGGGATTTTCCAAGGCTGCCAGCACTAGCCAACTCATTGCTTCCACTGAAGTCAATAGCTGACTTTTAAAGATGTCCATCGCTTTTGACAAACCCATTCTAAATATCTGCTGAACAACTCCATGTTATGGAATATAGATAGCTACACAATTGGTTTTTTGGGGGGAATGGGTGTGTAGCTGGGGTATAAGGGCTAACTCACACTCTGGAGCAGTTTCTTACATTATTTTACATTCAGTGTTTGTTTTACAGGTGTGCACAGGATAATAAATTTAGTATCCCAAGTCATTGTAATGTGCAAAAATCCATAAGATTGTATTGTCTCTGAAGCAAAGAGCATTTATTGTCTGTGCAGAGCCCTACCACGACGGGGCCCTGATCCTTGACTGGGGTTTGTTCCTCAGCACTACTCCAATAATGTTTTATTATAATAGAAAGATCGACTAGATTAGTCTCTTCATTTTTGTCTGCACAGCACACAGAGGCCTAGATCTGGGGTCTTTGGGTCCTAGACTTTTATTTGCAGTAAATGAATTATAATTGGGTCTGTTTCAAACCCTTTGAACTAAAAACAGCTTCAATTTTTTCCCCACAGAAATACTGTTCTAACCAGCACTCATCATTAGAATCCCCTCCCTCCATTGAGAGGGAGAGCCGCGGTGCTGCAATGTAGCCCAGTAACTACAGCAAATGTTTCAGATGGTGGGGTGGGGTGGTGGGGCAGAAGGTCACACTCCTTGGCTGATTGTGGTAATCATGTTAAGCTCCACATCACTGGAAATAATAATTAACATAGCAGGTTGATTATGGGAGGGGTCCAAGGAGATGGGGAAAAGGGCGGGGAAGGCGAGTGAGTGAACAATATGTTTTAAATGTCATTGGAACAAAAAGTTTTCCACCCCCACCCCCAGCCTCTCATTAATTTCCTGGGAGTCCAGAACAAAGTCTGCTATAACCCTGCGCACCCCCTCCCCTCCAGCAACCCCCCTTATGTCAATGGAGTTGTACAGGTTTTAACAGAGAAGCATTTAGCCCCCTGCAAACAAGGGCGGATGGGAACAAATTCAGGTTTAACTCCACTGCCTTCATGGAGTGTTGGTCCTGCTCATAGCAGGGATGAATTTGACTCATAACAGCTCAATATGGACTGAATCCACCAAAGACATGAGACTCCAAGAAACCCCTGCTTGCTTAGCCCTGGGAAGCAGATAGAGACATAGCTGCAGGGGGCCGGGATTAGATAAAGGCAGATTCATTAAAGGCTAGTTTGGTAGCTAGGCTCCTAGTTTAGGAAGTGGGAGAGCTAGGTTCAAATCCCTGCTCTACCACAGATGTCTTGTGAGAGCTCAGGCAAGTCGCCTAGCCTCTGTAGGCCTCAATTTACCATCTGTAAAAGGGGCATAACAGCAGCATTTCTGTAGCCCATTAGTCTGACACCCTGCCCAGAGTCTGGAATAGGCCCTCTTCCTCACTTTATTATTCAAACACAAAACTCACCAAACAAAGCTAGTCCCTTGACCAAAGCAGACAACAAAGGCTTCACCCTCTGTTCCGAGGCCTGCCACGGAAGCCTGTTCACTTTCTGTAGTTTTCTTCTCAATGAGCCCCTTTCAGCCCTTTACAGGGATCACCTGATCCCTTCCCAGCTGGGTGTGATAATGGAACAGGGCTGGCACCCCCTGGCCTTTAGAGGAGCAGGCCACCTTGTTACAACTACTCTAACTCGCAGGGATGTTGTGAGAATAACAACATCAAGGACTGTGAAGTGCTCAGATAACTACAGTAATGGAGAGCTAATAAGTATGATAACTAGATCGGCCGTGCCACCAACTGCTGCATCTTCTATATGGGCTAAATTTGATCTTCAGACACATGTGTGCAATTCCCACTGAAGTCTAAGGGCAGAATTGGATTCTCTTGCTAACCGCCCTCTCTGTTTAATAGCAGCCATTTGGGTGTAGTAACATAAGGACAGCCACCAAAAAACAAGAGATGGAACTTGGGCTGTAAATCAGATCTGTATTTCAACCCCCTCAAACCCTGGGACGCGCCTCGCTGAGCATAGGCATTGGCTCAGGCCCATCAGAGTTAAAAGCAAGGTTGTAGAACCCTGGTGCACTCATGCTTTGACTTCTCTGGCATGTGGGTCACATGTAAAACAAAACACTGTGGTACAACAATTAAACCAAGTGGGCTGGGGTTGAATGGAACAGACAGCTTGTGCTCCAAAAACCTAAGTGTTTGTGTAAATATAAATATATATCCCTTGTTGTTACAAAGAGAATTTTCAAAAGTTGTACTGACACAGTGACAAGTCTGCTTGAGTATGTGGACAGCCTATAACCATAGCGCAGGGAGCTGGGAGTTGCTCTCATTCATCTCAATGGGGTGTTAAACCTGAAGTTGAAGTTAAGAATGACGGTTCAAATGTCAGCTTTGTTTACTTCACAGCTAATCAAAGCATGTAGGAATGATCATATTAGGAAAATCTGAACAGTATATTGTGAGTAGCACCTTACACTGGTGTCACGAGTGGGTGGGGCTCAACTTGTGGGTGGTGCTTGAGAGAGTACAAAGCTTTCTTTCCAATTTCACTGCCGCAGGGCTGAAAGTGATTTTAGCTACTTAACCTAAAGCTTGAGTGCTGTGGGGCTATTTTCTGTAAAGATAAATTCACTCTCCGATGAGTGCAAAAATATTTACAATCCACCAGCTTCAGATGCATTTGATCCGTAACATGTTAAATAAGTGAAAACTCTGTGGGAAACTATAGCCTAACATCTTCCTCACGCAGATCAAAACCCCGTGTCAGAAAACGGAGCAAATATGTGCAGATTATTCCATACGCTTGTTTTGCGTTGAGTGGTCTGTAAAAGGATGGAAGCACTATCTTGTCATAAGTGGAAACCAGCTTGCGTTGCACGCATGAGGTGTGGGGCTCCTAGGTTAAAAGCTGGAGCAAGCACCACTTTCTTCCCTTGCAGCTTCCAGACGCATCACCTGGTTTCGGAGAGGGAAAGGGAGAAGGTACTGCAGCAGCCCCCAAGGTTCCTTGTGTGCTGTTTGCACTGAGCTCCCAAGGAATGCAGCTTTCTCTACTTCCTGCCTTCACATCAAGGACACTGGTCAACCGACTTCCTCCCCATTTGTACTGGGATAAAGCCAGGCTGTGCCTGCGACATCACAGAAGCTATCTGCTGTTCCCTCATAATGGCTGAGTGCAGGCACATGACATGTCTCAGTGCCCACTGAGCCCTGCCAGGACAAGCTCAGAGGGGGAAGAGTGCTGGGGTATGAATGCCTTCCCACCAGTCCAGCATGGAAATCAGAACCGGTAACTAATTCCTCTTGCATCATATGCCTTGTTCGACTCATTTTTACAACCCTCCCTCAGGTTTCCTGACTCCCTACCTGTGCCTTATCCACTGGACCACACTGGACTCCTAAAATGGACTGAATGATTGGATCACTCCATTGGCTGAACAGCTTAATGTTTATTTCCCTGACTCCCTGGATGTGATGTTTCAATAGACCAATTTTCAAAGTTTTTTGGAAAGCTTCAGCAGGTCTTTACAGTGCCACCCAAAATAGGCTGTCATGTTAACCCAG